TTATAAAGTTATTACCAAAAATAATTTTACCGATAAGAAATATAAATTTAGTTTTTAAAAATATGCTGGCTCCGTATAAAATTAATTTGAAATATACAAATAATTTTCCAGTGAATAATTATCTACGAGGATTTTTATATAATTTTTTGTTTTATGTATAATATATGATTACTATTTGTATATTGAAAATTGTATGTTTGTTTTTATATCAAAAAATCTTTAATAAAAAAGTTACACATTTTATTCCCAAAATTATCAAAAAAATATAAGTTAATATCAAGCATAATTATCCCATGCCCTTATGCCCTGAGCATTTATGAAACTGAGAATATGTTTTATGAGAAAAAATATTTTTGGATCAATAGATAGATAAATAACATAATTATCGGTATATTTAGACATAGAGTTTAAGTATAGCTTCTGGTATTGAAAAAATACATATGTTTTACTGTTTTAGAGACCAAACAAGCCTTAAGTCAAATATGAAGTGATGTTTAAAAAAAGTTATATAATATATATATATACATGATATATACGATCATATATATGTATATATATATGTCTACCAATTAGTGATAGAAGTCTATATGTCTAATACAAAAGAGATTCACATATTCTGTACGGCAATCGACTGACAAAAATAAAGATTAATAACATTTTGACCTAAAAATTCTTTCGCAAAAAATTATAATGCATTACAAAACAAATTACTTTTTCAAATGATTACAACATTTTCTATACAAGTGTTTAAAAAACTGATTTATGCGTCAGAGATGGCCAGACACGGGGTCGGTATTGAATTATGGCACTCGTTATGCAATCAATGAATGCACACATAATGAACAACGTAAGGAGTTTTGGTTTAAATTTTGCTTGATCATGCACATTTTCGACACATTATGCACACCGAGATACCGGCACATAATCTATAAGTCTAATCAATGAGTGAATCTCTTATGACATCTCTTTATCCATTCGTGCAGTAAATGAGATTTCATTTTCTTATATTTGAAAGTAATTTTATGCAATTTTTATCAGTTATAGACTGTATTATCAGAGAAAGTCTTCTCAATCCGAGACTAATTATAATGAGATTACGATTGAGACAAATAGTTGTGAGAGAAAAAAGTCTCCATTAATTAAATAGACTAATGACGTGAAAATATTTTTTGCCCACACGTGACATATTGTGGTTAAGAAGTAATGACTTCTTACGAGACAGTGTAACACACGTTCAAACACCATGTATAAATAAATAAGCTTGCTCACTGCACTTATATATAATTGCTTCATTTTTGAGCTTCATAAATTGAAAATATAATTAATTATTCGTCAGTATAATAAGTTTCAATGTATTTTCATAACAATATGTTGTATGAACGCAAAAAACAGTTACAAATCATGAGATAAATTAAGTGTTGTGTTCATAGGAAACACAAAACTTTTGCCAAAAAATATTTTTCTGTAAAAACTATCCGCAATAGGAATACGAAAACTATGAGTTCATGTCTTAACTTAATTACAGACTTTATTTTCCTTTAGTTTTTTTCATTTGTCTGTTTTGTGTTGTAATACAACTCACAAAACATAGCAAACAATAAAAAAAGTTTTAAGAATTTTATCGAAATCATTGTCTTATAGCCATTTCTCTCACTTATTATGATTTCCAATACTTTTATTGTTCAGTACTTTTAACTAATCAATAGAATCCGTACGGAAAAAATCAAATGAGAGAAACACAACAAAAAAGTTTTAATTTTGTTAGAAAACAAAAAGAGTGACTCAAAAGCGAGTAAAAAAACTTTTTCCACAAAAACCTTAATTCCTTTCCAAAACACAATTGCCTTTTCGTTTTGTTTTGGCAACGATTTCCAGTAATTGATAGAAATATTAATTAAATTAGTTATTAATGTCTTCGCTCTTTATCTCCGCCATGAGTTGCCTTCAAATAATCAATTATTAGTATAACTATTGATTTCCGCATTGTTTTTGTAAAACACACTATAGTTTGCTATAGTTTTCGCCACAAATTCTTTAGACTCTATTGTTTGGACTGTTATTTGTGTGGAGACTCTGTTGTGGTTCACAATTATAGCACAATATTGGCCTAAAACTGTCATAAATGTGTCGACAAAAAGTGAATTAATTTCTATGGGAATCGGTATATACCGTATAATAAACTGTAACAATACCGGGTACTCTCATCGGGTGGTGGCGACCCCTTTAATTACAGGACTCACCACTTTTGCTAACTGTGCAAAACTCTCCAGCATGCATTTCAAACAAACCATTTATTTTAACTTTTAATTTGTTTTTCTACACAAAACGCAAAAACAATTTTATTCTCATTTCAATCACTGCCTGACATTCAGAGCCAGAGATAACTATTAGCCGATCACTGGTTGTTGTGTTGTGTTAGACATCAAATTGAATGCTCCCCTCAATCGCCAGTCTCTCTCTCTCTCTCTCTCTCTCTCTCGGTTTGCACTGTATTTCTCATTTGATTTCATAAACTCCTTTAATCTAAGAGTGAATTTAAAAGACCAGAACTGACTGTTGAGTGAAAAATAAAAGTTCAATGAATTTCTGGATACAAAACAAAGAGAGAGAAGAAAACAATTTTCTCATTCCATATAAACTATTTTAATCATGAAATCCAACACTTATTGTATGAGAAACACATGATATGTATGGAAAGGTAGTCCAGGAACTCATTCTTAATACATTCTTATACCCTGATTATTCTCATCATATAAGAAACATATTTATATAAACTTTAAGCACCACTAACTCCACCCATAGGGTAAACTCGTATATAGTAACTGAATGTGACTTTAAAATTGTTGTTCACTTCAGTTTACTATAGATTCTTATAAAAATGCAAAGATTTTATAATTTTATTTAAATTACACTTGATTTGTAGACACTAATCCGCTAGTTTAGTTATTTAATCGTATTTAAAGTAAAGTATGAGCCCTATAATAATGCCATAATATTGTCTATATGACATTTCATTTCACTTTCTACTGGGAACTCAAATAAATAAACTCCAGTCTCATCGATAGCTAATCTGATGTGTTATGTGAATGAAAGTTTAGTGAATTTGAGGGACAGTAGTCTGGATTTGGTCCAACTTTGCACAATTTTGTACTGATTTCTTGATACTCTATTAGTTCATAAAACTATAGGAAATGTGTGCAACAAATGAATGAATACATTGACTGATAGATTGTAAAAACTTTTTTTTGTCTGTTTTTCTTAAGTGGCGAATGATTGACTGGTTTTGCAAAAACATAATTTCTTATATATATAAACAAGTTATGAAATATTTGTATAAATATATTACTTATGTAAGTTTGTTCATAAAAATAACAATTGTATTTTATATAAAAGCTCTAAACTTTATAATTAAAAAAATATCAAACATAATCAAAAATATTATTTTCTATAAAATAGTCTAAAACTTTTTTGTTTGCTATTATTTTATTATTTTACATATAAAACATATTTGGCGCTCACAAAAAAATCAAACAAAATTTTAATTATATAATACATTAGGTTAGGTAATAAAAAACTTAGCTATTTTATAATACATGGATATGTCTTACGACTAAAATATATGAAAGCAAAACATTTTCTCTCTAAACATTTTGCGCTCAAATGTTAAGCAAAATGTTTAGCTAACTGACGGCGAGGAGACCGAAAATTAGTTTTACATAAATTCGTGACAAATGCCAGCCCCCTTACATATACCTTACATATACCAGTGAGAAACAAGTGAAGGAACGGGAGATTCTGTGTGTGTATGTGTGCGCTAAACACATATTATATGTTCAGGTTTTGGAAAAGTAATTTTCCTACCAGTTTTATATATGATATACACTTTACGGTTAAATGAAACGCAAAGACTAATAGAAATCATTATTATATATAAGAATATATCGAAAGTCATTAAATCAATGTTTAGTCGAGAATAAAACGCCAAATATTTTTCGACCGATAGTTAGCCAATAGCTATGAATTGAGACAAAAAAAGCGGTTTATTATATTCAATGAATAATAGACAACAACATATTTTCACAACATTTTGAAACAAATAAATTGTACAATTTTTATAGTCGATTTTAAATTAAAGTATTTTATTAGTTTGTAAAGTTTCTCCATTAAGACTTGACATTTAATAAATGTACTTTGCATTATACCTTAAGGTAATTAGCAAAATTTTGGTTAATTATTCTACTGTATACATTGGCGAAACCAAAATATTGCCTGGTTAAATAATGGATATATTTGTTACATACAGTTCCCTGACATACCCTCAGAGCTCAAGAACCTTTGAATAATATATTTAACACGAGATAAGCGTATGGATGAAACACTATCGATAAAATATAATTAAACACTTAACAAAACTCTATGCAAATGGTATTTTACAGAATACCAGTCCCTTCTTGTGTTACCCCTCCTCCTGATGCGATGACTACTCTTTATCATCGATGTGTGCGTTATATTGAATAGGGTTTTGTGTTTTGGTTAATGTTTTTAGTAAAACATAAATATTTTATGTATTCAAAACTGGTTTGCGTTGTGTTTTGTTGTATTAATCACTTCATATATGCCGTGTGTTAGGCATGTATTGAATCGATTCAATAGGAATTTATAGACGTTTCGCAAATACCTGGACACAAACACTCATAATACTGTAATTTAATTTGCATATTGAGTGCTAAGCACCGGTTGTTAATAGACTTTATATGCATTAAAATAATAATAGCTTTTTATTATAGGATATCAATCAATGGAGACTCCGAAGAGTAAATGAATGGCTATTATAGACAAAAAATATATATACCCCTCGAGAAAGGGCTCAAAAATAAATACCAAATCGACTTTTCACGTGAAAGAATTTGCATTACTTTTTATTTTTTTACATTTCGATATAAAAAACAAAATACTAAATAATAGCTTACATCTAGAGATATATATAAATACATTTTCCACTAATGAATCAAAATTTGTACAGAAGTTTGAGGAGATTTTGTTGCGAGAAATGTGCGCTTATTTTCCGTATCCATAGCCCCCGTGACCATGTCCATGCCCATGCCCGTAACCACCATGTCCATGCCCATAGCCCCCGTGCCCATGCCCGTGTCCATAACCACCATGCCCGTGTCCGTGACCATGACCATAACCGCCGTGCCCATGCCCATGGCCATGTCCATATCCTCCATGTCCATGACCATAGCCTTAGTTATATTTAGTATAGTAAGCTTATATTTTTAAGGATTTCTTTAAAATATCTCCTAGTCCATTACCTCCATGTCCGTGCCCATGACCATAACCATGTCCGTGCCCGTGTCCGTGCCCATAGCCTCCATGTCCATGTCCGTGACCATACCTGTGCCCGGCCTCTGCACTTTGAAATAGGAGTACAACTGTCGCACACAATACTAACACAACTACCGGTGAAAATGTAGTGATTTTCATAATTGTTTTATAAGTTTAGATTTTCAGATATGTAAAGTTTTTGCAGATTTATTATAAACTTGATAAGAGTAATAAAACTTTTCAAAATAAATGTTTTAATGTAAACTTCAAAATATATTTATCATTTTGAGTGTTTGTTTTGAATTGAAATGAAATTCAGAAAAATTGCTATTTATATATGTATTGAAACTAAGTTTTTTGTCACACTTTTTGTGAAAGTCATAATTTTTTTGTGAACAATAAATGTATCGTTCAATTAATAGTTACATAATTTTGTAATAATAATACAATTTTATGAAAATTCTTGTCATTCCATTGCATAATAATTAGCAAACTTTTCACAAAACTATTCGCAAAGTGATAAAAAAAATACAGACTTTGGGTGCCATTGATTTCAAGGAAATTAATTTTCAAGAGAAATCTAATTATTTAGACGAAAGTGTTTTTACATGTGTATAAAAAATCAAAACATTTATAGTAAAACACACTTATTACACAATTAAATTGAGTGTCAATTTTATAATAGAAAACTAATAGCCATTATATGTGTTTAATGGACTGTAAATATTAATTTATATTTTTTTGGTAAAGATTTGTTGATAATCTTGTCGAGTGATTGCAAAAAAAATGTTTCAAAATCATTTGCAATCAATTTTTTCATAAATTAATAAATTTAGCCACATTTTATAATGATATTTTGAAATTTTTATTTACTTATTATATAATGCTGATTTTTAATTAACATTAAATTTATAATGAAATTATATGCAATCATATGATAAGAAATATTTCAATTATTCTACACTAATAATACAGGTACAGTATAATAAAGATTTTATTAAAATATGTGCCAATAAGTACTAATAATATTTGTTGTACCTATTTTGTACTTAATGAAACAATTTTGTGAATTTAAATTTAAAATATTCCCCGTGTATACAACAACTGATATTTATTTGGCAAATAAGAGATTATTATAATTAAACGCTGAGTACAATGAATGTCAATATACTGTATCTATGTATCTATGTATCTATGTATCTATAGATAAATCGTTTAAAATACCTCCAAAAAAGGTTTGTACATCAGATTCACTCTCATTGTATCGATTGCTTTAAAAAATAATTTATAAGATTAATGCCATAATATTTTTGCGCAATAATTTGCTTTTCATTTATAATGGCAATACTTCTTCAATATATTTTTGAGAAGATTAAGAGAGCACTGATAGGGGGACAGGGAGTGCGCGCACCGGTAGATGATATGGAAGACGGATAAATGGTTAGGTTATAGACCAGTAGTTATAATAAGTATTTCTCTCATGTCGTCCAACATATTAGTACTAATAATACACTTTCGCTTGATTTTTGGTACTGAGGACGTGCTCTCACTTTCTCTACGCTATCAATAGCCTATCCATCAGTAGTTGCCCTCCGAAGAGCCCTCACTTGCATCGAGTCTTCTCTCAATCTACCAGTGCTTCGCTTTAGGCTATTATAATAAAATAGAAACTTAACTTAAATTTTATTATTATTTTTCTCTTCGTTGCCGAACAGAAACATAACTCAACTTTTTCTTTGGCTTTAGTTTTCTTCTCTATACTATTGATGAGAGTTTTGTTCGTTAGTTAAGACTCCGAGAGAGAGAGAGAGAGAGAGAGAGAGAGAGGTTTCGCTCTATCAATATCTATAAAAAATTCTTGACTTTCTCTCTCTCTCTC